AAAAGTTTTAAGAAGTGGTTTTAGTTGTTTTACTAGAAAGATGTAACAAAGTTAGAATCAAAAATAGAATTTGCATACTCTTCATAATAGTAAGTAAAGGATGCATAATAAGAAATGCAATGAGCTTCCATAGTTAAACTAAAAAGATAAATAGGCTTGGAACAAATTTATGTTCAAGGAAGAACATTTAGGTCTGTGGATGAAGCCTCAGGCGTGCAGTGTGATAAAACAAGGTCATGTAAAAACTGTTGTTTTGAATTTATAATGAGTTTACAGAATAAAATATGGGTTTGTGCTTGTTATTAGTATCCTGTTACTCCCCTTTTATGTAACATTTTATCTATGAGGTAATTCTTTCTAGCATAGAGAACATTTTGTACTAAGGATATGAAAGGCTGAAAGCAGTAAAGAAAGGGGGTGCAGCCATTTTCCATTTCACCCTGTGTGTCCATGTCTGTGTGAGTGACATCTTTCCTTTTCTTTTTCTCTCTGGTTTAAAAAAATAAAAAGTTAAGGAGCTCACTGATCAGCGAGAGACTTTTGGCTGACTTGCCAGAAAAGAAAAAGTAGCACTAGCAATAAATCCTGTACTGAATTTTCCGCTGCTATACAGCATGTGTTAATCACCAGAGAAGTGTATAAAGTAAATAAGAGTTATGTTTTCCAGAGCTTAATGAAGCACAGAAGAGTTAGAGAATTAAAGGCCGGAGATCTTCCATCCTTCGAACTGTATCCGATGCTGTGTTCCACTTCAGGCAGGCTCCTGGCACTATCCAATAAGAACTGAGGTACCATTAAGAGTACAAAATGAACAAACAGAAACAAAACAAGAGAGAAGAAAAGGACTGTCAGAGACAATGCTAAATGATATGTAGCAAAAATTTAGTGACAGCAACTTTGAAAAATGTTGTGTAAGCTATCAAAACTAGCATATAACTTTCTACATAGTAACACATAGTTGCTGAACAGTTCATCACAAAACGTTCCTATCTTAAATTAAAGCGGTATTAATGAGAGGTAATAATGACAGAAATGCTATTAGAACATTATTTCGAAAAATATGCAGTTAATGCAACACCTGAAGCAAATTTATTTTGGACATAAAAATAATCATTAAAAACAATAAATAATACAAAGTTACTTTGAAATTTTAAACCCAAATAGTTTCCATGTTAGAATTCACATACAGAAATGGAAGCTATTAATGGAGGCTCTAATGAATGTATGGCAGATAGTTGTTATAGAGGAGATTTAAGCATGACAAATGTTGTTTAAAAAATTATAGGAGGGTAAGCTCCTGCACACACCAGGTTAAAAATGTGAGTCAAGACATTTATCCAATATCCCAACTACCAAGCTGAAGCTGAGCCACTTACTTAAGCTTTAGGGAAACCATGATTAGAGAGTATGTAGGTCACGTTTCAAATACCGTAGCAAATACCTGAGATGAATCAAGTCAAAAAGAGGAATAGTCAAACATATGCCACATCGCTTTGAGGTCAATGAACTACCAATAAGTGCCTGTGGCTGGACAGTCAACCAGGTGGGAGCACTTGAATGAGGCAGCTCATTCATCTCATGATTGGAGCACATGAGTGAGGTGGCTCATTCATTTCACAGCCAGGTGTGAAGCACAGAGAGAAAGGTCAGAGTCTTGCAATCTTCTTTGGGAAATTAAAGACTTCTCGTTAGACCCTACTTTCTAGAGGCTTCACCAACTCCCAACAGTATTATGGGCTGGAGGCTCTATGCCTTTCACACATGAGACTTTGGATAACATTTATCCAAGCCAAGGTTGAGAGATAATAGTCAAATTTCCCCACCAGTCCTGTCTCAGTTGGGATGAGAGTAATGTTCTTTCTGTTTTAATGAAGTAATAATGTAAGTCATCTGAAGCAATCCAATGTTAACTCTTCAACTGTTATCCTATTGCTCTGTCCAAGTGTACAAGTTAAAAAATATGAAAAGTCAAGTACCTTTTGGGTCTGGACAAAGTTTTCAAGTCCTTCTGCATTCATAAAACCAATCTCCTTTATTTCTCAGAACATTTTTTCTCTTCTATGTAGTTTTGGCCAATTTAAGAATTAAAAATGAAGCCTATTGATACCATTAACATACATTGTGATTTTATTCTTTAATGCTTCCTTTCCTTGATGATAGAATTTTTTTGTTGTTAGATAACAGACAGTTGTGAATTGCTGTTTGTATTTTCTGCTCCCTTAAGAGGGATAACCCGAGGAGGAGTAGATCACATCATCAGGTGATGTCAGGTGAAATCTTAATTGGTCAAGTAAAAGCTAGAGCCTGTGATTGGGGGTTGAAAGAAAGAGACAGAGCTGAAAGTTTTAGAGGAGGAGGAGAAGAGAAGAGGAGATAGAGGACAGAGGGAGATGGAGGAAGAAGAAGTTGAAGCTAGGGATTTCATAGATGGGTATATTTCATAGTGTAGTGGTATATCTGCCCAATCTAGGCTCACAGCTTGTATTCATATTAATTGGTTCTGTTTTTCTTACATGGGCATTTTGGGGCTGGAGATTTACCATTATAAATCTGGCTGGTATAAGTCTCTAGTGTTTTCATTTCACTGGACTAAAGGGAGATGAGTGAGTGGTAGCTGCAGGACAGCCTCAGGGGATGGATGGCCTGAGAAATGTGGGCGGCAGCTCCAGCCTTTCAGGTTAAACTGGTTTGGTTAGTTTAGCAAGCTAGCTGCAGGATCCAGGACAAGACAGCCTCAAAGAGCCAGCCTTGGGGGGTGGGGGGTTGGGGGGCGAATGGGCAAAACCATTGATGCAAGCGTATAGCCGGATTTAACGTGGTGGGTTCTTTTAAAACTGCATGTTACAATAAAAATGTCAACTCTATGGTTGATTTAGGGCTATACACTTTATGTGATGTGGCAGAACATTGAGACCTATGTTACATTTATCTCCACTAAGCATATAAATGAGCTATCTTATTCAGATCAACATGTAGATCATATACAAACTGAATATCGATATATTGAATAATCTAAATTAAAAAATGTTTCTCTTTTGGAAGAAATCCCATATCTACAACCTACTTGTTCAAAGGGCAGTTTCAAACAATCAGCAAATCCCTGGGTGCAAAAGGGATGAGGGTAGTCCTTGGGACAAAGACTGAAGTGTATGTGTTATGGAGGTGCAGGGAATGTCAATAGGCAAGTGAACAGAAGTAATACAGAGATGGAGAGACTCCTTAAGAATGTCACAGTTAAACCAGCTCTCCTGTTCCTCTGCCATCAACTGAGGCCATGCTGCTGCGCACTGTGTCAGGGGAAGGTCTGACTGAGGTTCTTCCATGGTCACCACAGATAAAACATCCTATATCCAGTAATCCCAACAAATTACATGTGGGTAGAATGAAAAGGTCCCATGCCCTGCATCTCACAGTAAACCATCAGAACACAAGACTACAACTTATGAGAAATAAATGCAATCTCCTAAAGGCCAGTGTTGAATGCAAGAAGAGTAGGCCTAGTTAAGTAAGTCTCTAGACCAGTGACTCTCAACCTTCCTAATGCTGTGATCCTCCTGTTGTGGTACCTCCCCCCCCCCAGCCATAAAGTTATTCTCCTTGCTACTTTACAATTGTGATTTTGCTCTTGCTGTGAATTGTAATGTAAATACCTATGTTTTCTGGAGGTCTTAGTTGAGCCTTGTGAAAGAGTCTTTTCAACCTCCCAAAGGGGTCATGATCACAGGTTGACTCAACCTCCCAAATTGGTCATGACTACAGATTGAGAACTATTGCTTTAGACAGTACAAATACAATTTCCCCATTTTGTAACTGAATTGACCTGAATGTCTGGATTTACGGCATGGTCATTGTAACAAAATCAGTGTTGTGATGGCACAAAGACAGATATATAAGCCAAAAGAATAGAACAGAAGGTCCAGAAGCAGGTCATCTAATTCTTGACAAAAACTGTCAACAATATATGGGAGAAAAGAAGACATCTATAACAAATGATGCTTGAAAAATTAGGATATCTACATGTAGAAGAATAAACCTACACACTTAGCTCTCTGGAAAAAAACCCCAACAACACAAAATGGATTAAAGATCTTAACGTACAAACAGAAACTGGGCTCCATGGATAATCAAGTGTTTCTTGTGCAAACATGGGGACCTGCGTTCAGATCCCCAGAGCCCATTCAAAGCTGGAGATGGTGGTATGTTTTAGTTCTTTGTATATTTGGAGTACAAGTTCTCAACAAATATTTTGCAAACACCCCACCGCATTTTCCCCCCTTGGCTTCTCATTCTCTTAACAGATTTTATTTTCCACGGCAGAATTTTTAAAAATCTTCTACACGCTATGATAAAGTGTTAGTGTTATATATAAAGTCTCGATGCCAAGACTTTCTTCCGTGCTCTGTGTTTAATTGCCTTCTACCAGCCAGAGGATGCACCGCTGCTCTTGATGGGATTTTCACAGAACAAGATCTCTAACATCTGAGACTTTCCATTAACAAGTTCCCTCAGTCAGACAGCAGCTCTGAAACAGATCATGCTCCTCACATCACAGTCATGGCTTGGCCTTGGGAGGAATATTTCCTGTTAGATTTGACTCTGATTGGATTGTCTTTTCCTATGGCTTTAATTTTTGCTTTCACATTGCAAACTCCGTCTGCTTCGAGGAACCACAAACTCTAAGGAGTGCAATGGATCTTCTGGATGCTGCAGAGTCATAGAAATCCCAGGGCCATCTTTGTTTCTCCCTCTCCTTGAGTTTCTTTCTAAAGGTGTCCTAAAGTCACACAGGGAGTGAAAAGCAAAGACCTGAAACTACAGCTCCAGGTTGCCCTCCTGTAACCATGGAAACCAGACCAGGGACCAGAGCTGCGCCTCGGGGCACAGGGGGCGTGCAGCCTGCAGGAAAGGCGGAGGCCTTCCCTGCGCTCCCGAGGCGACAGCGCGCGGGTCGGAGCCAAGTTGCCCGCCACCCCGCGGCCACCAGCGGAGCCTCTGCCTCCTCGGGGCTCGGCCCCGCCCGGCTCGCCGGAACCCTGCTGAGGGCCCCGGGCGTGCGGCAGAGTCGACCGCAGGACCCCCGGAGGCTGACAGCGAGGCATGGCGACTCGGGCCCGCGGCTTCTCGCTGCTCCGGGGCCGCCTGGGCCGAGGGCCCGCGCGGGCCCCGGGCGTAGCGGAGCGCGCGTGGCGGGGCTTCGGGAGCAGCGGCCGAAGGTAGGAGCTGCGGGTAGGGGCTGCGCGCAGGGCGGAGCGCGCGGGGCGGCGGTGGGGCCTGCGGAGGCCTGGGGTGACCACAGTGCAAGGAGCTCAGGCGATGGGCCGCGGGCGTGGGCAGCTCGCTCGGACCCCGGCTTTGTTCAGGCTGTTCTTGTGCGAGCAGGCGTAGGCGCTGTGGAGACAGTCGACCAACCTTTCGGTTTCAGTGTTCTTTTGTCACTGGGCTTTGCTGAAGTCTTTCCCACCTCTGAATGTCTTAATGGTTTCATGCTGGCCTCTCTCTTGCCAGCCTTCGGATTTGGTTGCTGCATGGGACAATGAAAAGACATCGCGGTGCCCATGAACAGGCCATCCTGCCTCATCTTTTCCTTGTCTGCTGGAGAATCCAACCTATGGAACAACAATTCACAATGTCTTACCCAGGGTCTTCGAATTCAGCAAACCTCGTTTGTAAACTTTCAGGGCTTCCAGTAATGTACTTTCGCTGCTTTCCTAGGTGGCTGGAGACTCGCTTGTCCGTGCATATTTACTTTGTGTCCTCAAGGAAAGTAAACAGCGATGCTGTGTCCACAGATGCTGTGTAATTTAAACTAACTCCCCATCAGATGTTTTTGGATCGTAGTCTCGAGTCACTAAAATTTAAAGTACTTTCTGTAGTTTTAACTTCGGCGATGGTTTATAATAAGTAGGTCTATAGAAGAAGATATGTGGAAATGATAGTGGTTCAGAATTCTATTGCTGTACACTGTTAGGCTGTAGTAGCGTTGGGATTTGCTTTTTCTCTCGACATTGCCAGAGTGCTCTGCTCCCTTGGAAGAACAGATTTGGAATGGTTCTGTTTGCAATCCAGAGTTGAAGGGATTATCTACTAACAGTATTCTATTTAAATTGTTATCCTTGGAATCTCAAGTTTTTAGTGCTTCCCTCTAGACTAAAGGCACTGTACAAGTTGATTAATGTCCCTTCCTCAGTTCGATGTCTCCATCCCCTATTTGCTCCATGCCTAATGCCTGCTGAGACAACACTTACAACCCCAATATTTGGTTGTAGGCACATATTCCACACCCACAAACACATAGATATCCAAACACTCATGGAGATTTCCCGTCCTGTAATTTGTATTTTGATCTGGTGGCAGGCCTTGGGTTTGAACTCTGACACATACATAAAGAATACCTTTAGTGGCCACATTAGAATTAAAAGTACAGTAGGTTTTGGAAGACGATTTTTCAAACTGTGATAATAAAGGACATTACTTTGTGCCTGCCTGCTTTCTGTTCTGTTTGATACAGATTACAATTGCATAGATAAAAGAAATGCCATTTGTAGTGGTTTTGTTTTTAAGATGGCACTAATTAAGTTCAGATATGGTGGTATTTTTTGACATTTCTTTTGGTGCTGACCGATATACCCGCTGGCCAGGCTGGCTATAAGGATGAGAAACACCGGTAGAACGGGTGTATCTCGGGTGGGGAGGAACGTGGACAGTGTGTTGATGTTTATTGGTGTCTCTTTTCTCTTTTAGGACCAGCAGAGAGAAGAGACTCCATCTTCCAGAGGTCGCCACTGTCTGCCTCCCCACTCAGTCATCTTTTTAAGTGACACCTCATTTGTCTGGCCCCTCATAGTGAGTGTCACACTTAGCATCACTCCTGTTGGCGTGACATTTAAATCACAGTATATTTTTTATTGGAAATTATTCTTGATTACATAAACTCCCCCAATGGCATTAACTATATTAAATTAACCAGTTTGTCACACTATAGAGCCCTTATAAAGAAAAAAAGATTGTTGACATTTTTATGTTTCATGTCTAAGTAGACACCTATAAAAATGGAACACACTAAGTATTGTCTACATGGAGGGTTAATTTAGTAAGTTGAATTTCAAGAAATAATATTTGATGCAGTTTGGAAGCTATACAATCTCATAATATTATTTAACCGTTCATTTTGCAATAATTTCCCCCTTTAGAATTTTTTGGTCAGGTATCCTGTTTATGCACAAAAATTACAGCTTAATAATTGAAGGAAATTGATGTAAATGCATATGTCTTTCTATTTTTTTGAAGCTTCTTTTGTTATGAAAAGAACTACTGGTCAAAATGTTGAAAAAAAAAAACAACCATTGTTGGTGCTTAAATTATTCCCTCTTTGTGGTACTATGTAAGGACTTTTCTAGTCAGAGTAGCTTTGGTTTAAAACACTGCATAAGTCTGGGGCAAGTGCACTGGGAGGAACTTAGCAGCTGCCTAGCCCTTTGGGGCAGGAATGTCACAGACTTTGCACATTAGCTAGTACTGGGCTCAAGGCAGATTTACAGGTGACCCACAACATGGGTAGTTCTACACGGCTTGTTTACATCATTTCTGTAGCTCAATGAGATCTCATATATTTGTTCACACTGCTACCACTGGTTTTTCAAGCCATGGATTTAGTACATTCTCCTTTTGCTCTCCCGACAGATGCCTTTTAGCCACTATGACATTTGGAACACCAGCCTACAGCTTTTCCTACTATTTCGCCTTTATACTTCACTGTGAATAGCTTTGTAATATTTGCTGCTGATCTAGCTTTTTAAAAAGCCCCCATTTTTTGGAGTCAGAAAAAGATTCTAGTTTATGATATTTAAATATGTTAGAAGGAGTGGCCCAATAATTGTCACAGGATGGGTTTTAATAGTAACACTGCTAACGTCTTCAGAATCTCCCTTCTAGGACTTACTCAGGATTTCCTTTTCTGCAGAGTTACTGTTTGCTTTAAAGACCTTTAATCCTCCCTGAAGCTTAAAGAATCCAGAATCCAATTAGGACTATGACAAAATCTGATTTTAAAAAATTATTTATTTATTTATTTTATGTACACCGTAGCTGTCTTCAGCCACACCAGTAGAGAGCATCAGATCCCATTACAGATGGTTGTGAGCCACCATCTGGTTGCTGGGAATTGAACTCAGGACCTCTGGAAGAGCAATGTTCTGAACCACTGAGCCATCTCTCATCTATCCCCCAAAGCTGATTTTTATCTAAATTGATTTTGGTGAAGGGAGAACTAGTCATAAAGGCTACCAATGCAGTTTCTCAAAATTGTACTGTTTTGTTGGCAAAGGTGATCATGTGATCTGTTTCCTGTTGGACTTAGTTATCTTAGCTACAGCTTTGTTTGCTAAGCAGCTCTGTTATTTTACATTTGGAAGCTAAATGTTTCACCACTTGGTGTCTTATATTTAAATTTTATCCTTTCAAGTATGTCTCAGCTGTCCAGAGAGGGTGTGCTAATGTAATACCCTCAAGATCAAATTTTCAGAGTAACAGTGCTAGATCACAGCCCTGCCCTGGTAAAACCCTGATCACCTGATCACTTTAAGAAGCCAGATCCCACAGTCTGAAGAAACCAGGCCACACCTCCTGCAACACTGTGGGACACTTAGGAAGTCTTGCTGTACTGTGATTTCTTAGTTCCCAATTGGTGGTCTTGCCCAGTGCCTTGTTTCACCATATTCCTTGCCAAGGAAGCTACCCCAGATTAAACCACCTGTTGTGGGACTTCCACCACCCCTGAAAGGATATGAGTTGGATATTTACTTTTTCTTTCAGGGGTTCTCTGAAGTCTTCTTGTAAGTCTCCCTCCCATCATCTTGTTCAGAGAATTGGTCGGTTTCTCTCTCTCTCTCCCTCTCCCTCTCTCTCTTCTCCTACCCCCCCCTTTCTGTTAATGAAGCTCCTTTCCAGGTTTTAAAGGAAAGATTCTTTTTTCTCTTTAAGGTCTCATTTGTGCTGTCTCTGGTACACACACACGAACGAGTGCACATGTGTGCATGCATATACTTTCATAAATCTGTCTATACATTTTTCTAAAGTGATATTTTTTGTGTGTGACCATGGAGATTGAACCCAAGACCATAGAAGTGCTGAGCAAGTGCAGTAACCAGAGAAATACACTTTTGGCATACAAGTTATACTTATTTCTCTGAGACAGGACTCACTATATAGCCCTGGATGGCCTGAAACTATATAGGCTGGCCTCAAACTCACAAAGATCTGACTGTTTTTGCCTCCTGAATGTTCAGATTAAAGGTGTATCACTACGCCTGGATAAAATATACTTTGCTAAACTCTAAATATAACCAGATTCATTACTATTTTCTCAGATTCCCATAATGAAGCATATCTTAATATCGGACCCGATAGATAGAACTGAGGGAATCCATGAACCTGGAAAGGAGATCACTAACATCTGATTGGTTGATTCAGTGTTTCCCCCTTGTAAATACTGGCAACAAATCATATTAATGTTATTGTCCATCAGTTCTTGTGAGGTCACTAATACACAGATATACTCTAACATCACAGTTGATTAAGATATCACAAAACATCATCTATTTTCATCACGTGGATAATATGGTACACACTATAAGACTTACCCCCCCACTCTGGGCTATCTTGATAAAATTGGTTTCTCTTGTAATTCTGTGTATTCACATCTGAAACCATTCTTCTGAGAATATGTCCAGGGACTTCTTCGGGTGAACCAGGGCTTCTTATGGAATCAAATTCTTTCCTGGAGAAGAATATAAATGATCTTGTGGTCTCTGTTTGGTATATGAGTATATTTTTTGATAATTACTAATACTTTGGTTTTATTTGAGGGTTCTAAATTGACAAGCTATAAAATTGACATTGGAACGAATCATACGCAACAGACCATTTTTTGCTCTATTGCTTTGTTTATTTCCACATATATGATTTTTCATAAAAATTGCTTCAGTTTTTGAGTGAAGTACTTAAGGTGGGAAATAAAATGCCCATAATATGAGCCTAAGCTTAATGTTCATTAGTATTCATTTACTTTAAAAATATGCCACAAAAGGCTCAGGATTGTTGTTATTAGCTTTATTGTATCTATTCTATATCTGACTTTGCCTTGATTCTTTTGGATATTTTTAACACAAACTTCAAGTACCCATGTTGTGCCTCAAGGCATACAGTGCAGAAGCTG